GGAGGCGGAGCTTCCAGTGAGCTGAGATCCGGCCACTGTGCTCCAGCCTGGGAGACAAAGCGAGACTCTGTCTCAACAAAAAAAAAAAAAAAAAAGAAAAGAAAATCTAAATAGACCCATGGAAAGTACAAAGATTAAACTTTTATAATTTTAAAATTTCCCATGAAGGAAAAAAAAAATAAACAAATAGTTGAAAAAGTCAGTGAAAGTTTATTTTCTAAACTTTTCTATATATTTAATATTTCATTTAAAAATTTATTGCAGGGCCAGGTGCATTGGCTCACGCCTGTAATTCCAGCACTTTGGGAGACTGAGGCGGGCGGATTACCCGAGGCCAGGATTTTGAGACCAGCCTGACCAATTCATATACTCACTGTCAATTCTGTGCAACAAACATATACTAGACACTTACTCTGTATGAAACATAATCCCAGGGACTCTGAAGGATATGGAGAAAAAGAAGAGCAGATTTTTGCCTCCACAGAACTTATAATTTAATCAGGAAGATACACTATACAAAATAACTATAGTACAAGTAGATGTGATGGGTAATATAAGAAGTACTAACAAAAGAGCCATGGGAGCTCAAGGAATATAGACTACTTCCTTTGGTGAAAAACAGAAAGAGAAGGTATTAGCAAAGACGAAACTGGTAGAAATGGCCAGGTTAGTGGCACGTGCCTGTAGTCCCAGCTACTCAGGAGGCTGAGGAGAATTCCTTGAGCCCAAGAGTTTGAAGCTGCAGTGAGCTATGATCATGCCATTGCACTCCAGCCTGGGCAACAGAGTGACAGTCTGTCTCTCTCTTTTTTTTTTTTTTTTTAAAAAGGTGGGCATAGTGGCTCGTGCCTGTAATTTCAGCACTTTGGGAGGCTGAGGCAGGTGGATTGCTTGAGGCCAGGAGTTTGAGACCAGCCTGGGCAACATGGTGAAACCCCGTTTCAACTGAAAATACAAAAAGTAACCAAGTGTGGTGGTGGGCGCCTGTAATCCCAGCTACTTGGGAGGTTGAGGCAGGAGAATCACTTGAACCTGGGAGACAAAGGTTGCAGAGAGCCAAGCCAAGATTGCACCACTGTGCTCCAGCCTGGGTGACACAGCGAGACTCTGCCTCAGAAAAAGAAAAAAAAAAAAGGAAAACAAACAATACAATCATAATCTTTACTGGCCAGAAACTAAGAACATAAAATATTGAAAAGTTAAGACACATATGTCTATACCATTTTGCATTTCAAATCATGATATTCTAGGTTTGCATTTTTGTGTTCATAGAAGCAGAGAAGTGATTCGATTTCTGAAACCAAGATCTCACAAGGCAAAAAGTAAAGATCCTGTCAGCATTTGTTCATTCACAAAAACTGATGCCCAAAAAGTGAAAACAGAAAGACTTTAGGGACCCCTACTGGCTTAGTCAATATGACAATCTTTTAACGAAAGTACTGTTAAGGACTCAGAACTCTTTCTTATTTCCAATTAAGCAACCACTTCAACAAATATTCATTTATTTGAGTAATCCAATAAATTTATCTAACGCTAACAGTAATCGATAACGTGAAAATACAATTTTATAAATAAATATTTGCAGCGGGGCATGGTGGCTCACACCTGTTATCTCAGCACTTTAGGAGGCTGAGGTAAGCAGATCACAAGGTCAGGAGATCAAGACCATCCTGGCCAACATGGTGAAACCCTGTCTCTACCAAAAATACAAAAATAAGCTGGGCGTGGTGGCAGGTACCTGTAGTCCCAGCTAATGGGGAGGCTGAGGCAGGAGAATTGCTTGAACCTGGGAGGCGGAAGTTGCAGTGAGCCGAGATTGCACCACTGTACTCCAGCCTGGCAATAGAGCAAGACTCTGTCTCAAAAAAAAAAAAAAAAAAAAAAAAAAATCTGCTCTATACTATATAAAACTGCAAGGATAAAGGCAATAAAACTGTGTAACTATATAAATACTGAAGGAATAGGTTCATAAAACAAAATGTAACCATGGCGAAGTATGGATGTTAAAGAACTATATGAAGCTAGAAAAATAAATAGGCCAGGCACAGTAGCTCACACGTGTAATCCCAGCACTTTGGGAGGCTGAGGTAGGTGAATCACCTGAGATCAGGAGTTCGAGACTACCCCAGCATGGTGGCATGTGCCTGTAGTCCCAGCTACTTGGGAGACTGAGGTGGAAGAATCGCTTGAGCTTAGGAGGTGAAGGCTGCAGTGAGCTGAGATGGCACCACTGCACTCCAGCCTGTGTGACAGAGCAAGAACCTGTCTCCAAAAAAAAAAAAAAAAAGAAACAGGTAACAGTCACCCCTGGAAAGGAGAACGAGATGAGAGAAGAATGAGAGATGGAAGGAAAAAGTCTTTCACTACATTACCTTTTGTACTAGTCCCACTAATGCCTCCCTAGGTCAATTAAGCAGTACTTACCAGAATTTTATCAGCTTTGGCTTCACTAATTCCCTTAATATTTATTAGCTCCTTCTTTGGTGCATAGGCAACAGCCTCCACAGTATGGAATCCAGCTTCTTCCAATTTCTTCACATCGTTGGCATTTATGCCACACTGCTGCAAATGAAGAAAACCATGGATAAATTTAAGCTTTAGTTATTTAATCTAACACAGATGATATGTGTCCTACATACGCCACAGAGGTGCTTGAAGACTTGTAATACAACTGTCCCTTGAAATCCTGGGGTGGGGAGATGGGAAGTTGGTTCCAGGATCCCCAGCAGATAACAAAATCCAAGAATGCTCAAGTCCCTTATATAAAATGGCATATTACCTGCATATAACCTCTGTACATCCTCCTGTATACTTTTTTTTTATATGTAGTTGATTGAATTTTTGATATGTAGTTTGTCGAATTTGCTGATGCAGAATCCAGGGATATAGAGAGCCTACTGGATTATATGCAAAAGCTGAAAAATGAGCCCTATATATGAGGTACTTAATAACAAATTAACAACCTTTTCATTATCAAAATCAATAATTTTAAACTAGCACTATGCCATGTATATTAAAAAGAACTCTTATAAGCAAATGGAATCAAAAAGTAACTCCCAACTTTTTTTTTGTGACCCTAAATGATCTCCGAGACTTTGGGCCCTACAAGATCAGTTTAAGACCGTGTTGCTCAGCACTTTCCACATCAAGCACATAAAAAATGATATTTTTACACTATGGTAGGGTAAACAGATAAGGCTGCTCAGAATGAAAAGAGCGCTATCTTGGCCTATCAATACCTTTTTGTTGAACAATGACCAGAAAGCTCTACTCTAGCAACTGACATTAACAGTGAGGAAAACTACTTTTTGTCAGGGACTTTTATATCTCTTCTTAAACCACCCAAATCCACCTCTTTCTTCCTATATTCAAGTCAGCTTTGGTTTCATTAGCCACCAAAACCATGACTTCTGGGAAAACATGAGTTAGTAGGTGAATGTGAGTGTATTTAGGGGTTGGGAGAATTTAGAAAAGGGGAGAGATCAGTTTGCCAACATAAGCCATGTCTGCTGTTAATATTTAAGCAATAAGCAATATGCATGTATGAGTATAAGGATGCTCATGGCACCAGAAGTTATGATTCTGAACTTTAAAATGTTTATCACAAATCCATTTAAGTAACTTCTATAGTCTTTTTTAAATAAGCTTTTTGCACTCCTAGAGTCTTGAAGATTAGTCGGAGATGGGAAATTTGAAAAAAGAGACAGAAGAATCAAGTCTTTCTCTGCTTTCCCCCTACTTATCTCAGCCCCAATCAGCTGCACTCACATGGCAGTCTCTATACAATGGGCAGAAATAGTGTAAGGCCTCAGCTCTGGTGCTTAATGTTCTTGTGCAGAATTCTGAATTGGAGCTTATCTCTTATACCATAACACCACCACAGCCTTCTCTCTGCCAATGACAGCTGACAGCACAAAGCTAGGTCAATAAAGAGAAGGTGCTACCCTGTCTTCCTTGCATAACTGGTCCAGGCCACTATAATTCCCAGAACGGCACTTTCATACTTAGTGCAAACAGCACAGGATGCTTTGGCTGGGCGTGGTGGCTCATGACTGTAATCCTAGCAGTTTGGGACGCTGAGGCAGGTGGATTGCTTGAGGCCAGGAGTTCAAGACCAACCTGGTCAACACAGTAAGACACATTTCTTAAAGACAAAACAAAAAACAGCACAGGCCGGGCATGGTGGCTCATGCCTGTAATCCCAGCACTTTGGGAGTCCAAGGCAGGCGGATCACCTGAGGTCGGGAGTTCGAGACTAGCCTGACCAACATAGAGAAACCCTGTCTCTACTAAAAAATACAAAAAACTAGCCAGGTAAGGTGGCGGGCGCCTGTAGTCCCAGCTACTTGGGAGGCTGAGGCAGGAGAATCGCTTGAACCTGGGAGGCAGAGGTTGTAGTGAGCCGAGATTGCGCCTCTGTACTCCAGCTTAGGCAACGAGAGCGAAACCCCATCTCAAAACAAACAAACAAAAAAAAGCACAGCACAGACATTCCACCATGGGATCCTAGGCCTCAGTTTCTGACAGTCCAGCTCTCAGAAATAAAAATGATAAAGTAGGAAGAGAATGGTTGACAAAGGAAGACGCCCTGCCAGACATATTTAGCAACAATCTGCAGCCTTTCCACAGGATTATTGACAACACTTCTGAAAAGTCTTGGGTCTTGACCTTGGTAGTAAACCTACAGTTTATGTAAAGGTTATAATACCTTCCACTAGGTAGAAGAATCTAGTATATAATTTCAAAATTAGCAACTAAGCACATACCTCTAACCGTAAAATGGGTTGTGGGCCAAAGCTTTCTTCTTCCACTGAAGTATCTGCATTTGCTTCAAGCTGCATCTGCATTGCCATTACTGAAAAATACAAATGCCTATCAGTATAAACACTAGAGAAATAAGGTGCATCTCTCTCCCTATCTTCTATCTAGCTAGTTGTATCAAAAAGACTTTAGGAAGAGCCAAGGCCATTCTCTTATTGTGTCTCTCTGTTCTCCTGCTTTATATTCCTTCAGAGTAGGGGCCAAGTTTTACTTATTTTTATATACCCCATTATACATTATGAATGTGTTTGCAAACAAATACTGTGTGATCTCACTCATATGTAGATTCTAAAAAAGTTGATCTTGGCAGGGTGCAGAGGCTCACGCCTGTAATCCCAGTACTTTAGGAGGCCTAGGTGGGTAGATCACGAGGTCAGGAGATTGAGACCATCCCGGCCAACATGTGAAACCCTGTCTCTACTAAAACTACAAATATTAGCAGGGTGTGGTGGCACACGCCTGTAATCCCAGCTACTCAGGAGGCTGCGGCAGGAGAATGGCTTGAACCTGGAAGGCAGAGATTGCAGTGAGCTGAGATCACGCCACTGTACTCCAGCCTCATGACAGAGCGAGACTGTGTCTCAAAAAAAAAAAGTTCGGCCGGGCGCGGTGGCTCACGCGCGTAGTCCCAGC